CTTGCTTTTTACTATATATAACAATTTTATTTTACTTTTATCAATATCCATCTTCCTAGACAGTCAGACAAAATTGTCTAGACTTCTTTTTTTTTTTACTGTATATTAAGGAGGTTTTTAGTACAACATGTCATATTTGGGCATGTATGCAAATAGAGTGTTGAGTAGTACTTTCGATTAGAAAATTAGATGTATACGGAGAGACTATAGGTTTTTATATTAAGTTAAATCTTATTGCAGACTAGCTATCTGTAACTCTTTGTCTAATAAATACGTAAAGCGTAACTGTCAAAGGAAAAAAAAAAATTATATTGACAAAAATTCATTGTTGTTATGAATATTCATTATTAATTCAACTATTGAACTAAGGTTGAACATCAACTAATAGTATACTGATTTTTTATAAAATTCAACTACTGAATGTATTCTGAATTATTTTAAAAATCAGCTACTAATTGTTTTAGCTAATTCAACATGAATTCACTAGTTGAACTTAGGGCAATTCTTAGCTGATTTCTATTGGAAATTAGCACTTAAAAGTATACTGATTTTTCATAAAATTCAATTACCGAATACTTTCTGAATTATCTTAAAAATTGGCTACTGATTGTTTTAGCCAATTTGACATAAATTCACTTGTTGAACTTAGGGTAATTGAAGACTAAATTTTATTAGAAATCAGTATTTAAAATTTAATAAAAATACTAATTATAAATCGATTTTCAATAGAAATCAGCTTTTAATCACCCTAATTTCAACAGTCAAATTTATATTGAATCAGCTAAAACAATCAGTAGCTGATTTTTATATATTCAACTAGTGTTAGCTACCAAGCCAAGTTAGTATTGCCATATGATCTTATATAACAGACTTACTTATACCTACTTGATCTGTATTCTTTATACTTAGACTTCTTTACTAAATTAAGCATTAACTAGCATGACTATTGAAATCTGTATTACTTCATCTAACTTGAGATTTCTACTATGCAAGTCCTCTATAAGTAGATCCTATTTCAATTTATTTATATAATATAACTCAAATATTCTGTTACACTTTCAATGTCTAATTAATATTAGTGTAATATAATTTACAAGGTTGTAATCTTGAAAATGAGCAGAGTTTACTATGAGTTGAATACAAGGTTTGAGAAATTATTTAAATTTTTGATAGTGGGATTTGAACCCTAAATCTATTGCATAGTAGTCTAATAACCTATCTACTATACTAGATTACTAGACTTTAATTAATTAGATTCTAATACTACTGCATATACTAATACTTATTTAATATATAGTAGAATTTTTACAGATATAAATATGAAGAGATAACAATAAAGAGAAGTAAATTTAAATTTTTTTTAATACTTATCATTATAAATAATCTTTTAACCTATAATTTATTACTTTATTTATATGTAAAAATAAATTTTATGATCTATATATTGTTTACTCTGATCAAATTATATTTTAAGACCTCTATTCTAAAAAAAACTTACTAATTTATAGTACTTTGTTACTTAGTGGAAACAACATAGTTATGTTGTTTTCACTTAGTCTAAGTTATTTCCACTCAAGTATAGCAACAGAAATGCATTATTATCGTTAGTAGTATAATAACAGAATTGTATCACTATCGTCAGAGTCTAGATTATTTCTACTTAGGTATGACAACAGAAATACATCACCATCATCAAAGTCTAGATTATTTCTACTCAGATATGACAACAGAAATGCTTCATCATTATCAGTGGTATGACACTAATTTCTTCTGATCATGACTCATCAAAGCATAATTTTATTATATATATATATAGTAATAATTTTACCTTGGTGTTCTACTTTTTTTCACTACCTATTTATATGTAATTAGTGTCATCAGATATATTAGTATTCGCTCTATCATTCAAATAGCAACAGAAATATGATATCATCATCATATGTTGTAGCAGATTTTCATCATTAGCTCTTAAATACTAGATTTGTTATCAGAAGTAAGTTTTCTAAGACATAGTACCAAAATAATATCCTACTTAATAATATGTAAAAGCATAATTTTTTCTTACCTCTTTCTTTATAATATTCTACCTTTGTGTATTACTGAAGGTTTGCTATATTTTTTGACTCTGAAACTCTTTCTCGTATATTTAGTATCTTTGAGTACTTTGGTATATTATATTTTGTGCTATCAAAAAATAGGTAGCCAACTTCATTTTTCTTATAATATATTACTGAAGTTAGCTACCATGATTACATACCTGAAAATATATCAATAAAATAAGTAACTATCTTCTATAATTATTATAATATATTACTGAAGATAGCTACTCCAAAAACATACCTAAAATATGTTATTGAATAAATATCATAAAGACATACTCGAAAACATACTTTAGGTGCCAAATTGTTATCTTCACTTAGTAATACGTAAAAGCAGAAATTTATCTTATCTTTTTCCTTATATTATTCTACCTTTGCATATTACCAAAAGCTTGCTATATTTTTTGATTTTAGAACTCTTTCTCACATAGTTAGTGCCTTCGAGTACTTTTATATTGTGCTAAAAAATTAGATTATATTTTTGATAACTTTTGCATATTATATTTTTGATATAATTGTGCTTGAGTACTTTGCTTTACATTAAAAAATTTGATCACTTTTGTATATTATTTTTTTGATAACCTTTGCGTATTACCAAAAGCTTGCTATATTTTTTGATTCTAAAACTCTTTCTCATATATTTACTATCTTTGAGTATTTTTACATCGTGTCAAAAAATTAGATTACATTTTTGATAACTTTTGCATATTACATTTTTGATAACCTTTGTATATTACTGAATTGATATAAAGTACTAAAATCATGTAGCACAAAAATAGTTATTAACTAGAACTTATATGCGGAGGTTATATCAAAAAAATAATAAAACTTTAACGCATCAATCATTTTGATTTATAGTAATATCATGTAATATGAGCACTTATCTAGAATTTTACTATTCATCTTAACTAGGTAGATATATAAATCAGATGACGACAACTCCATAACTCAAAAACTCTTTTTGATAAGTATTTGGGTGCTTATCCAAAATCGCATAACACAAAAACCCTTTATATGACCTGCTCACTCACAAGTTCGTATTCAGATATATATAGCTAATTTGTTTATTATATCTATTATCTAATTATTTCTGGCTTATTGTAGAACAATAGTACTTACGTGCTTGAGCAGTTACTGCAAAAAAGTGAGGTATCAGAATATTAATTTTTTATTTGAATTTTTTCTCTTATTTATTGTAAGAAGCAACAAAAAACCTCCTACTTGAGATGAATAACTAGTTAAATATAGCAATCTCTCTTCTTTAGAAATTACTACTAAAACTAAATGATATTATCTTAGTACCTTATGCTTGTTTTATTGAAAGATTTATAATAATTATACATATTCAATAATTGCTAAAGATTTATTTTTCAGCTCTTTTTTGTGCGGAGTAGTAGGAACTTTCATTTTAGCCTCAAAATTTCACTTGTATTCCAAGAAAGTAATTTCATCTATACTCTCATGCTCTTTTTTCTAGTAATTTTAATTATCTCACAATTCAAAAGTAATCTTAGTTCGCCATTGTTCTAACCTTTCTTCAGACATTTGGAATTTTTGCTATAAAAGAAGGATAAGGATGTTTATATCTGATTCATTTTTAATAAGAAATTCCGAAGATAGAGAAGTTAAGGATTCAGGTATTTTTTTTTCAACTGTACTGGCTTCACTAATAGTAGCATTAATATGATATATATCTTGAGTACAATCCTCTCTATGTTTACTTATTTTATTTGAATCAATTGATTAATCTCGAGCTAGTATTTCTAAAAATAAATCTTTTTCATCAATTATACTACTAGACGAGTCAGAAATTTTATGTTCAACATATTCAAAAAGATTCTGAATCTTATTACTTACCTTTGGCTTATATGATGGAAGAACTGGAGCTATAGAGCAATATTCAGGATTATCTAACTTCTAGCTATTACTTCTTCTTAATTATCAAAACTACAACTATTATATAGTTTTTGATTAATTTGATATGAATATTTCCAAATTTGTTGTTCTTTAGATCCTACTAATTTTCACTCACTTTTTACAGTATAACTACACCAATTACTAACAATTGCATTGATTGCCTTTATAGCTAATTTAAGATCTGATATTTCTTTTGCACAAGATCTAAAACTAAAGAACAATAAAGCTTGACTTCAAATTTCTATAAATTTTTCATGAGATGTCTCAAATGCAACTTTTACCTAATTATCAAAGAGAATGTATTTATCATCTATACCTGTAAAACCAAGCGACTGTAAAAGCTCTTGTATAGCTTTCTAATATTTTACTGAATATGTTTTGCATAAATCTTTTGCTACTGAATTCTCAAAATTATCTTTAGTATTATAGCAGGTATCTTTAGTATTATAGCAGGTATCTTTTCATTATGTGATATCTTTGGCTTTTAATTCCTTTATTGCACTCTCTTTATCATAACCTTGCTTGTAAAAATAAGATAGACATAAAAAATGTTTTCTAGGTTTGAGTGGACTAAAATGTTCTACAAAATCTTTATCACAAGTTTATTCTAATTCTCGATACTCATACTATTTCTACTATAAAGATTTCATATAAAAATACTTAAGTACTATAGTATCTGCAACTGAACATTTTGAATTAAGTTTAAGAAATTTAGCTTTCTCAGAAGTAAGATTTCGAGAAGTAGCAACTGCATCAAAATCTGTATTCTTGATAACTAAAGCTTCAGCCTTAATCTCATTATGAACTTTTTTATGATTCCCTATAATTTCTTTATTTTTATCCATTTTTATTAATTTAAGACTTGCTCTAGTACTGGCAATAAGACTACATGAAATCTCGATAAAATTTCTGGTTAAAAAATATTTCTGGTACTCAACTTCAATAAATGATGTTACAGTATGAGATTGATTAAGTTTATAGAAATACTATCTATATCTAATTCACGATGTCTTTTAATTGCTATAGGTAAATCATTAGGCTGAGCAATTGCAAGTTCTGCTCGAATATTTTCATAACCTGATGAATGAGAAAATTCACTGGAAATTTTTTGATAATAAAGAGAAAGTATACGCTTTTCATAATTACAAATTCAGAATATCATCTGAATAAATGCTTCTACATTAACTAGAGTTCCAATATTTGTAATACCTATAACTATGTTAAAGTGATTAGGTTTCTTGAAAGAAATACCTGCTTCTACTGTGTTTGTATAAGCTACACAATCAAATTTACCCCAAGCAGTATTAATATTTAAAAAGTCTTTTTTTCACTATTTTCTATCCATATCTCCATAATAGGCACGAGCTTTAAAAGATAATTTAGAAGCTTCTTTTACTAATGCTCAAGCCATATTAGGGCTTGTTACAACAAATACCATGTGTTTGCCTTGTTTCAAATACTTAAACCCTATTCGCATAGCTTTAGCCCTACTATTTGGATCGTAAAGATACTCAACGGTCTTACCTATAAGTAGTTAGAATTTATTATCAATTACTCAGATATTTTCACTACGATAAGCTTTGAGAAATATTAGCATACTTTCATTTGCAAATGCATTCATAGCTAAAACATGTTGAGCTGATCTTAATATATCACGTATTGTATTTTTAGATTCCTGCACATTTAAACTACTATTCATTTGATGTTGAATTGCATTGACTTCATCTAAAATAGCTACAATCAGACAGGCTGAGAATTCTATACAAGAGAGACTCTTAACTTGAACTATGATAACATTCCACTTATCTATAGACAAGCTTTGTTCATCTTAATAATTACAGATTCTAAGTCCGAATAATTTAAGATCATTAATTTTATATATTAATTTATTACTAAGAGTTTTTCAGTAAGAAATCCAGATAATGCAAGGCATATTAACTTTATTCTTGGCTAAATAATTAAGATATTTTCTTAGACCTTTTGTTTTTTCTGACATTATAGGAGAGCAAATCAAAGTTATACTGGGTTCTTTGCTCAAGAAATTAGAATAAGCTTCTGGAAAATCTTTCATTTCCTTTACATTAATAACTTTTTCAGATAATTCAAAAAATAAATAAGGATTTAATACTGCTTTGACTATTCTTTTATTTAATTCCAATTTAGGTTTCTCTTTTGACTCAACTTTGTCTGATATCTTATTGAAGCTAATGCTATTATGCTCTGGCTTGTATTGTTTTTGGCGATTACACTTAAATACAAAATGTCTATTTTTTTGAATAAATTCATAAAGTCGATCTTTTTTATGTTTAATATTACATATAGGGCATTCTTTAACAGATTGTACTTGAAAGTTGATGAATTCCTTCTTGATTCTTCCAATCTGAAGCTACTTATATTTTGCAATAACTATATTAGCTCCTTTAACCAAGGTATTCTTATTATCGATAGATTGGGATTCTTTTACTTGCTTCTTAGAAGAAAAAGTTCGTAGCCTGATTATAGAATAATTCTCTTTAGCCTAAACCAGATAATTATCTAAAATTTTAAATTCGTTTTTAACAGAAGAAATAGCAGGTCTTTTTATATGATCTTCTTTTGCTGATTCTAGAAGCCGAAGATTAAAATGTGTTTTAGAAAAACTGATATCAATAAATTTCGAATAAGGTTTCCCAACTAATTCTATAATCTTTTCTGTGAATCTATTAAGTTCTCTATAATCTACAAATTGGGCATGAGAATAAATAATATGCCAACTATATTTCTCAGTATTTGATGAACTTGCTAAAGCAAAAGAATTTAAGAAAGGTATATATTCTGGAATAAGGCTTAATGCATCTGCACAAGCAACTAAAATTCGAGATAACAAATCTTCTCGAGTAATTTTTTTACTATCTAGAAAAGGAAGTTTAGAATTAGTAGGATCAGGCTTTTGCTTTGCATCAATATCAATTATTAAATGAAGGGGCTAGTTTCTATTGATACATTCATGGGTATCAGGTATTCTATAAACTTCAGAGGGATGATCGATCACTGTATAACCTTTTTATGCCATCTGAATTATATATTAAGAATAAATCTCTTTAGGACAATATGTATCTAAAAGTGCAATATCATTTCTATCAGAAGAGCTAGTATGGCCATAATCCTTTAGGGTCACCTCTTCGAGTTTGGATGCAAGCTAGTATTTATAAAATATATGTTTTCTATGGTTAGGTTTATAATCAAGATCCATTAAACCTGTAAAAAGCTTTTTTGCTTCATTATATTCAGCTAACTTTTGATTTAAGCACTGTTGCTGTAATGATTCATGAAGATGTTTTTTTGCTTCACTAGACAAACTCATTTTATTAATTTGTATATATGTTGTTTGTATATATATATTGTTTGATCTGACAAAAAGTATATAATGCGTTGATTTATCAACTTATAATAGAAATGATATAAAGAATTTAATTTAAAAAATAATTATTTCATATAAGCAAAATTTGAAAGTTATTATTATTAGTAATAGTATTCTATTCTTGTCTATATATTTATATTGATAGTTGAATTTGTGAAAAAGGTTATTACTGACAAGAGAGTTGTGCTCTTCATTAGAAAATATGATTATAGTATACTAACTGCTTCTATATACAGTATATGTGTTAAATATGCTAGAAAATATTGCAACAATTCAAACTATTATAAAAAAAGGCAGACTGAATTACTTAAAAAATACCTTAATATATTACTATATATTGTTTTTCTGACTTACCCAATTCTATGCACAAAGTGTAATTATATATCTGACATATGTGTATATTGATTATTTTAAGTAATGCTATATCCTCTTTGATACCTTCTATATTTTTGGTTATCCTATTATGTAAAGCTATGGATTCTAAAATCTTCGATTTGAAAAAATATTTTTTATAGTGTATATAACCTAAAGAATTGTTTATAAATTACTTGACCTACTATAACATTAGATCATATCAGCTATTATGACTAAAATTGTTGAAAAATACAATCTCAACTCCAAGCTAAATATATCTGATCTCAGCAAATATACTTTAGAATTTCTTGAGAACCTTACTGATAATACAAAGTGAAATCAGGCTTAACGATATTTTCAGGATAGTTTTAAATTTAGCAGTAAACAGGTAGGTATATTGATACCTAATCAGAGAAGTGGAAAAAATAAAACTATAAATTTGGTTGAAGGTAATTGTAGAATAGCAATAACCAAGCCTCTAAAAAGTTTAGAAGAAGAAATCATCAGAGAGAAAGCAAAATAAATCTTGCAAAATAGATATAGATTTAGTAAAGATCAAGTAAATGCCTTATTCACAATTCTGAAAAATGAAAGTAGATACAGTGTAACTACCTCAGATAAAATATAAATATTGTAATCGCCAATTAACTCTCTAAAGGAATGGAGAAAGAAACAATTAGGGATATAGCACAACAGATTTTATAGGATAAACTTAGCATTAGAGATATAAGAGCTAAAGCTTATGCCTTAGCTCTATCAGCAAAAAATGCCAATGCTGGCTCATTACATCTCACTCATCTTTGTAAAGAATTAAGGAACCTTAATGCATCACTTGAGATAATTGAGGTTACAAAATTTCCAGATATTACAGAAGATGCTAACAAAATCTAGAGTATCAATTGAAAAAAACTGAAGCTAAACGTATCAATTATCTAGATGAATTTATATTAGAATCAGTCAAAGAAAGATTAGATGTGTATGATATTAAAACTTTACCTGATTGTCAGGCTCTTGCTGATATTATAGTGATACTTTGTATTCATCCTGCTAAACTTAAAACTTTACGCATTACAGATGTTGGAGTAATAGGATATGCGAAAAATTGAGGTCAGCTAGATATTCTCAGAAAATTTAGATTGATAGAAAAGAATTAAGAATGAGCCAAAGAACTACTCACTTGAATTCAGCATACTATATCATCTGGATGAATAGGTGATTCAGATAAGCTAGGAGTTAAATAGTTCAATAAATTCTTAAAAGATTATAATTTAATTCCTAAATATTTATATAAATTAAGAGTAGTTTATAGTGCAGTAGTATATGAGGCTAAGAATATAGCTCACACTTATATAATTGCTAGAGAATATCTACATTATTCATTTGATAATTATACTTCTCCTGTGCAAAATTATGTTGTAGTCAATTATAGAAAAAGAGGCATTTCTTATAAGCAAGCAAGATGATTTCATATCTATGATCAAGATTAATTGTGCTTCTTTATTTTTACTATATCTATAGTAAAATCTTCATTATCATAAAAGGATTCAGAGCCGAACCCAGATTTAGATGAAAACTCAAATGTGGTATTATTAAAAATTGTTTTTTTTCTTTTAGCCTCAGATAGTGTATGATTTCTCTGAGAAATATCTGGGTTTGCTATCAAGTTTATAATATCCTGCTGAATCTCAGATTTCACTATCTCCAGTAATTGGCAGAAAGAAATTTGGATTTTTTTACTCGATACTTGCTTAACAATATCAGATACCACTTTATCAGTAATGTTGAGTAAACTTTTATCTTTTTCAAAACCTAATTTTTTTGCAATCTCATAAGTGATAATTGGACATTCTAAACATGAATTAATCACATTCTGTTGCTTTAGCACTAATTCAATATTATTATTTTTAGTCATTGTCTATGTTAAATTATTTATTAATATACAATAAAAAAATATATCATTTAAAATACTTAAAATGTTCATAAATACCCTTGTCAAAGGAAAAATCATAGTAAAAGTGTTAATTGATACAACATCTAAATATAATACTATTAGCAAACACTTATTCGATAAGCTTGAATCTGATCACAGATTAAAAGGTATAGTTGGTGATGATCTAATAGGCAAAGAAATAAAAAGCTTAGATTTATAGTTTTGCATTAAAAGAAAGTAGCAGAGTTTAGGTTATACTGAACTAATAGACTTTCAAATTCACAAAAATCTATCATTCGATCTAGTTATGAAGCAAGATTGGTTATAAATGTATGAAGCAAAAATAAGCTTTGGATATTCTTCCAAAACCCATGTCCACTATGCTAAAATTGTAATAGATAGTATGAGCATCCTGTTATTCGATGAAAACTTTAACAAAGCCAGCTCTATTAAAAATAATTTATCTAAATCAATAGAATCTAAACCTGGTCTAGCTTAAGAGGAGGTTATGAATATAATTAACAAAATTTTTTCAAATATTAGAGATAGACCTAAAGGGTCATTGCTTTGCAACATACCTCCTATACATCTACTATCCAGAAGATTAAATGATAATGTTTCCAAAAATAAGAGTAAGAAAAATAATGTCAAATATTCCACAGATGCTTCTTCTAATTCAGACACTTCAGACAGCAATTCAAGTAATTTTTCTACATCTAGTTCAGAAATAGAAGTTACACATGCATATAAGACTAGAGTAGTAAAGAAATACCCTATTCGAAAGCGTAAAGTAAAAGGTAAAGTTAATTATCAAGCTTGATGATCTTATATATAGCTACAAAGTGAAGTAAATCATATCACGTTATAATAGGCTTCAAGAAAGAGATGTCATATGTTTTAAATCCATGAATCGGAGATAAGTATAGAAGTATTTTAGTACTAACCAACTTACTAACTGCACTTATTGCAGAGCAATGACCCTTTGGGTCTACCCTTAAGTTAAATTATTTATCCATGATTGCAAACGAAGATCAAGTGATCCTGACCTATACTTAATAATTCGTGAATGAATGGATTGCCAAATCTAAAATAAGATTTTATAAAATCTGCAAATTGGTTTGTTGATACAGAAATATATTATAAAACAGAATAAATGAATAATAAATTTCAAAGACTTATCTAGTTAAAGTTTAGGTAAATATATTAATTTAGATATTATATCTGTTTAATTTTTAGCTATCAAATAATTTCAGGTAGTAAAAAAATAATATATAGTCAGGTAAGTATGAAATGATAAAAAAAATTTTCATCATTAACCAACTCATCATAACCTATACTATGAGTAACAAACTACTTAGTGAAGGAGAACTTAACAAAAAATACTCCAAACAAACAGAATTATTAAAAGCCTTAGGAATAAATATCTTAAAAGGTCATCCAAACTCTCTCGCAAGCAATATCACAATATCAGAGCTAGAGAATTGTTATGAATGTAATGAAAAAATTTTATTAAATCTACTCAAAGCATTTATCACGCTCGTGTGTGGTCATAGACTCTATTCTGACTGTCTTGAAAAAAGTAATAGAGATAAACAAAAAACTTGTCTCATTTGTTTCATAAATAATGAAGGAACAGCATTAGCTGAAGTTCAGGACGTAGATATGTCAGAGGTAGAAGAAGATGAAGGTGAAGAAATCTCTAATCTAACAGGGATGGTAAATAAGTTATCTGTAGATAGTGATAAAGCTATCCCACGAAGTGAAACAAAATCTATAGAACCTGATAAAGTACAAGGTTTAATAAAAGAACTATCTATTCCAAGTGAGCTGATTGATGATAACGATAGAGAAAATAAGAGCAAAGAATCAAAACCAATAACTTTACTCCAGTTATACTATAATGCAAACTGGGCAGAAAAATGTGTAACCTATGCCTACTAAGAAGAAATAAGATGCTGGTATCTGTTTGCTAAAAAATTTGAAGAAAGAGTTAAAGAAATAAAAAATG